TGGAAGGAGCGTGACGGATCGGTAGTTGGCTGGGTCACTACGGCAGCCACCTTTGTAAATTGGTGAAATGACACCGTTTTTTCACACCTGAGAAAGTACGGTTTCTTCAAACAGTTTTTGGTATAGCCCACTTAGAGGATCGGCTATGTGACTTGCCAGAGTGATAAGGGCTTGTGAATGGATGTTATCTAAACCCGGTGAAGAGTTCTTCTTTAAAGCCATGAGCTTAGCCTTTACCTTTTCGGGGGAGAAGATAATGTCTGTTAGTAATGGGTGAGTCAGACTAGTTGGTACATGACGTGATGTTTGCATCACTCTAATGCCTGAGGAAGAAACACGGAAGTTTCAGTCGATTACTTTCGATTTTTGAGCGAATTAATACTCAGGCTTTTTATTGTTCTGCTGACCTCTCTGATTCCATTCCATTCACCTAGTTTAAGCGTCACTCTTGTGGATGCGGTTGTCTCCCTTGCACGATCCGTTTTATTCATAGTCCATCAAAAACACAACACTTTTAATTCAGTTGATGGAAACACCCTATGGACACCGTTACAGCGGAAAAAAATCACCAAATACATCTGTTGAATCGGATGCATCACTATTTTACTGACTGACGCCAGGCCCATACGTCTTAGTGGTATTATTTCTTCCGCTATCAATGTAAACCAAAGCAGTTTTACAGTTAAGAATGCCGAAGACACAGCGGTTGATGTTGTATCCAACAATAACCCTTTCATAGACCCCATACCATCAGCCAGAAGTTCCATTTCTGAATGGCGAACAACCGTTGAAACTTCAAATGCAGGTGTAATCGGTGTTTGATGATTACCGCCCGGATAGCACAGATAGACCAGATGAACCAAGGTGAACCGTAGTTTCGCAGAATGTGAGAGCGCGTGCCGCACGGTGAAATTCATTCGTCACGGCGAGTGTTGGTGTAAATGTAATGAAAAGAGTTTACTCCCTACATTATTTCCCATAGTCGCATATGGGATGTAGGTAGGTCCAACTAACACTATAGAACTTCCGGAATGGGAATTTGAACGCATACATCCCTTTTATCACGTCAGAATACCAAATGAGGATAGACTAAATTTTGATGCTTCATCCAATGGGTAATAACTAAAACACAAGATTGTACGGTAAAATGAAAGTAGATGAAGAATAAGGGATGCAAAATTTGAAATAAAACCAGAGTAAGTTCCCACCAGTAAATAATAACTTTGTGATCAATAATCTAATATCATAGAATTGAGGCGCCAAGATCTTTCGTCACCAGCTCAATTATATCTTGAGAAGGGGAATTCGAGCACTGAGTGTTAGTATTTATCGTGACGTTCAAGATCCATACCAGATATATATATATATATATATATATATATATATATATCGTAATATATATACCGTATATATATCGTAATCATGCCAATACATCAAATATCGGAGATTAACAAAATAAAAAAAGGAAAATGATATACTACAGTTCTAATGGTTTCCATAAAGCTCTGAACGTCGGCGTGTGTGAAATAGATCGCAGTGTCAAAGCTTCAGTTCATTGTACACATGTTGGGGAGGCTGAAGTGGACTATAAACTGATTCTAGCTACATATACACTGGGATCTGTTAATTAGAGTGAATACAGCTTCGGCCGTGGTTAACACGTGATGCCTCATTGCTCTTAATGACCAACGTCGACCTTTGCAAATGGACCAAAACGCGTAACCGCCATCCACCGAATGATTCGACTCAACCAGGTGTGTGTGAACTCATTGCTCTCGCACTGAATGTAATCGTTCCCGTTCTCAACCAAATTATGCCACTATTTTACCTAGTCCCATATGAACAGGTGAAGGAGTACATGCAGAAGGAGGCTACCGAATGAAGAGCTTTTTCTTTACATATGTAGGTGGTTTGGAGATAAGAACTCTTTTTACTTATGAAACAAAATGTCCTGTTTACTGCAACTGATAGCCTTTTTGAATATAGAATGTCTTCTTCTCTTCTTTTAACGGTCCTCCTTTTCTGTCGATATTCCAATCCAACTAGGTTTTGTGCCCCGGCGGTTACTTTGCTGGTGGTTCCGGCTATATTCTCTCTCGTAAGGCCCTCAAACGGATTGTGGAACTGGCGATTGACAAACACCCGGACTGTCCGACTACGGACGAGGATAAAGAAGATGTAAAAATGTGTAAGTCTGAGCTAAATGATAAGTCAACGAACTGACTTGTCTTTCTTCCGACTTTCTCTCACGCCGACGTTCTCGGGGGTTTTCAGGAGACGGATTTGTTTCTATTCCTTTCTCACCTTTTTAGATGAGCACAGTTAGTTTGTTATCAAGGAACTACAACTGCTCCAATTTTCTGCTTTGTAGTCTGGATAACTTATTTTTGAATGGAAGAGGTACGTTCAGAATAAACGAAACGGGTAGGGTATTTTTCGAAGTACATGTTTTCATACCATTTTTCAACCCTTTCGCAGACATCAGAATAATCTCCAATCCTGGATAGAAATGCGTCAAATTATATTGCCAGTTGAACATACCGATTGCACCAATATGAACTGTTTCCCGGGGCAAGCTTTATGTCAAGTGTTTAACGTGTTTCGAACTTCCGTACCGCATACAGTGTTATAAATCGGTCACCCATATGGTGATTGCATGTGCACATTTTTCCGGATGAGTGTAACAGGGCCAAACGATCTATTCGAAAATTCCAAGAGGCGTGTCGGCCACAGTCAGACGGGCCTTAATTGACACACCAGGTCAACCGAGTCCCCTTCGTGCACGAGTGTGGATACACAGACAAATTCGGTGCGTTCGTTGGTGGTTTCTACAATCGATTAACCTCTTTGTAGCTCGTAGGTGTTTTTAACCTAGTTGCTCTGTCTCGGTACGTGGCGTGCACAACAAGCTGCTTGACAAGCCTAATTTTGGCTTGAACTGTGCTCCGATTTTCTGATTTTGGCCAAAGTACGATATGACGAGCTCCCAAAGTGTTGTATGATGATAGGTGAATATATGTCCGCATTGCCGACAGTCAGGCGTCAACACGTTCAGTAGCTTGTAACTATAGCAAACGAATGAAGAGTTAGTTCTGCAGTACGACTGCTCCATCGTTTCACATTGTCTTGTCCCTCTCATCGGTAACCTTAAACGAATAACTTCCCTGACCCTTTGCGATCTGATTGGATAATTTTCCGCGATTTGTGGCGTTTGGACTCCCTCACCCCAACACGAAACTGTGATTATACTTTGTGTTTGATCAGTGAATTCGTTATTCGACTTTTAGTGATCTTCCCATCAATACACTCCCGTCCAGGGGGGACTATAAAACATTCTCAAGGTGATGATGCTTTTTGCAATACGTTGGCAAGCCCTAGATACGTGAAAAATATTGAAGGTCTTTTAAACGGTTAATAAAATGTTATCAAAATGAATCCAGTACAGCGACATAGAGAGAAGGATAGAAGAAAAACCATCAAAATATGCACCTAAGAAAGTGTATCAATAAACGGGTTTAGGCCACGCAGCTCGGTCGGACAAACAGATTATTGGTGTTTGTATTTCTTGGCCTATTAGGTAGAAAATGTAGGAGAGGAGACTATAAACCAGCATGAGGATCATTAATGGATTCCGAAACACTCGGGATGATTACGAGACGACGAAATGCGCCCCGTGGGACTCTCTCCCCCTTCTCCACCTCTGTGTGTGTGTGTGTGTGTGTGTGTGTGTGTGAGCAAGAGTGAAACTCGGGCAACAGAAGCGAAATATTAGTGTCGCACAAAGTTCGACTGGCTCAGTGGTTATCATAATGGTAAATCCGATCAAATGTACATTTTAACCTTAATGGTAAATTTAACACACCAAGACGTTCAAACTCTAGCCGCGATCAACATTCACAGTGGGAGTAAGAGAGCCAAGTGTTATTGGCAGTCATTAACCTCACGAAAAACTCATTCACGAACGGTCAACAACCTTGTCAACGTTTCATCTCACCCTACACAACTGTGCGCAAAATCATGACGGCTAAAGTGCGTGAATACCATATGTGCCACACACACACACACACACACACACGTTTACATAGTTCGCAAATGTCGCCAATTCATAAACAGTCAGCATAACCAAAATAAAATTTGTAACGAAACTGGTTAATGAATGAGCCGCGTCGTGCGACTCAAAAACCCGGTGTTATATGCGCACAGTAAAATCCGATCTTTAACGTGGCATCGTATGCGATGTCACATTGTGCGTTAAACTTACAACTTCCGGGGGTGAAGTGAGTGAGTGATACAGAACGGTACAGGCATTTACAATATCGCAATTTCGAAACAACAGTCTCACAAAATTACATAATGATGAACACAAATAATGCTGAATGGGAATCGATATTATTTGAACAAGCGTGGGATTGTGTTTTTAATCTCCCCGAGAGCTTCAACGGCACTCCAAATGTTCGATTAAATTTCGTAGG